AATATTATAAAATCCCTAAATTATATAGGAAATTATATTATAAAATAGGAACAAGTCAATGAGGTAATGTATGTGTATGTGGTTTAAATTATCTTTATTAGTTTCACATACTAAAAAAGTTTCCATATAAAAAAAGTAGATGCAATGTCATTGCTTAACCCAAAAATTTCAGACATATTTATTTTATAAATAATTAACTTAAATAATTAACTTAATTTCTATAAATTAATTATCTAACTCTTGTTTTTAGGACTAGAGTAGTATTTATTAAATAAAGGAGAAGAAGAAAATCAGTAATTTTGAATTAGTACCATCTTTAGTCATTAAAATTTGATCTCATTTTAGTTTTGATTCTTAAAATTTGAAACAAGTGTTTTGATCCCTGTAACAAAATGGTATTGAGTCCATTAAAAATGAAATAAAATTTCAAGAACCAAAGCCATTAATTTCAAATTTCAGGGACTCAAAATGATATTAGAGAAAATGACCAAAAAATAACCTTGAAAATAGGAAATTTCAAAAAAGGCAGCTTACACTTTCAAATGACAAGCAAGGAGTGAAAGTCTGAGATGAAGATACAAGAAAATGACCAATAAGCCATTATGTGATACTCAGAAAAAGATGTTGTTATCCTGTATTCCAAATTTGCTAATTTATGTTTCAGTCTCATTATTTTCTTATCAAATTTAATCATTTTTCTAAATGAATAGATACTTTCACTTGAGAAAATGATGTTGTTATAAGGGCATATTAGTCACTTCTCATATTTTAATAATTTCAATTCAAACTTTCTCTCATTCGCTACATATGGAGATGTTGGCTACTTTTTTTTGTTGAAAATTTCTATTTTTAATTTTTTAATCACTTTTTTTCATTATATCAACTCTTTTTTTAAGCCAATTAAAATAAAATCAATTGCACAAATCAAGATTACTAGTTTTAAATTTTAAAGACAAAAATGAAAACGGGATTAAAAAAGGTCATGATTCTTGACTTCCAGCTTCACGCGATTCCACCACCTTTCTGGACCAAACGACAGCGCTATCCAGCCTTCCCAAATGTTGAAATGTCATTTCCCAACCTCCTCTATTCATAGCACTCATATGCTTTTCATTTTACAAGCATATGTGGGCCTCTTGTGTTGGACATTATTGGACCAGCTCACAGGAAATAGAGTTACTACACCGTCTGTATATTACTCCTGTTGAAATATCTTTTGAGTGTGTCAAAGAAAGGATCTTATATTAATTGAGAATGTGGGAAGATAAAAATAAATTGAGCAATAATCATGGACAGATTTTCTTATTGTTATTAGGAATAGGAAAATCAAATATTAAAGAGTTTTAATATCATAAACAGATTTTTAATGCCTTAAAGATCGAGTGTTTGAAAATTCTTAATGGGTATTTATTATTTCAATGTGTTGAAAAGTTCAAATATCAAACAGTGGAAGATTCTAAATAAAAACAGTAGGTTTTTATTGCATTTAAAGTGCCAGACAGGTTTCAAGACATTTAAACATGTTGAAGCAACTTGAAATCAGTAAATATCTTCAATGCACTAACCGATCATATATTAAATAATGTTTTTGAAATAGTGAACGGATTCTCCATTTACTTCCAACGTCCATGATATTGCAACGTCCATAAAATTGATGGCATGCATTCAAGTTATAAAATTGGCGGTTTAATGTGAAAAGGAGGCTGCCAACGTTTAAAATAGGAGGCCTATAAAAGGATGTTTCAGTCTAAGGTTTTACACATAGTTCTAGAGTTCTCGAGTTCTCAAGCTCCTCTCTTTCCCTCCTGTGTATTCTCTTACCTGCTGAGTTTACTACTATATTCTGCTGTTCTGCTCACCCTGTTTTACAGGAAGGATCCATTTAATCCTTAAGAGTGCCGCATTCTTATTTACCGGTGGTTGCGGATTAGCTCTTAAGGACAGCGTCTTTAGGACGTGACTCAGATTAACTATTTATTTTGCAGGTTCTGCCGCCAACAACTCCTCCGATCCTTAATATAATATCTATTTAACCAATTTGATTAGATTAAGAAAGTTAGATAAGTTAGTTAATTATAAGAAAAGTGACACATTTTTCCTAAAACACCATAATCATCTTTTTTAATATCCCCTTTCTCTCTTCTACTTGATTATGGTTGAAGAAGTATCCATATGGGTAATTTAGAGAAAATTAATAAATATGAGAAATGGGTATTATATTTAGAATCAAAATCAACTCAAGAATTAAGTCCTATATTAAGGATTGGAGGAGTATATAGCTAATATCTAATCCATTTATAGTTTCAACTTTCAATAACTATTTTTTCCAATTTATTAATTTTATGATAATTGGAAAATTTAATTTGTCTATATTTATAATTTTACCCAATTTTTAATCTTTTTTCAGTATTTTCTTTGTCGGATCCTTACAGTTTTATCAATTTTAGACATTCCTTTCTATTCTATACTCATAATATATTAATTAAGACTGATGTGGATGTAAACCATAAGTGACATATGAATTTTTGCAACTACAAAATAAAAAAATATTTTAAAAATAAAATAATGAAATAAATTTATTATTATTATCATAAAAATAAAAATTGGTATGGTTATAATCGTTCCTTGAATATATGCACATAATCTGTAATTTAGTCTATTTTGATTTTATTTTGATCAATGTGGTGAAAAATTAATTCAGGTATATGCTATGTGAAAGTTGTATCATCAGCTAATGACATCGTTTTTCTTATAAATTAACAAATTATGTGTATAAAGACCAATATCTATAATTGATGAAATTATAATTATAAATACGTAATAAAAAATTGACAAAGACTTAGTTAAAAAGTGAGATAAAATTATCGAACTTGCAATTAATTTTCCTATTATAATTCGCAACAAATCCATAAAATATGGCCATGAAACAAGGAAAAGAAGAGATACAAGTCTCATTAGTTGGGAAAATAGTTACATCCTAAAGTGATATAATTAATAACATTCATAATCAATAATTATGCTTCTTAATCCTCAAGTCAAAAGATGACAGATTCCTCATCAAATGAAAAAGGAAAATATGCATGAAGAAACTCATGACCTCTTTTTTTTTTTCCCCCTTCCAACGGAAGGAACTTATGTAAATAAACATATCTAAATTGACAAAATATGAAAAGATTTAATAGTTTTCTCAAAAATTTATTTTTTAACACTTTATATATATGTGTGTGTATTTAAAAAATGGTCTTCTTTCTATTAGCAAGCACTTAGTTCAATTAGTAGCGATTGTGGCAGTTTTTGAGTATGAGTTTTAAGAATGCAATAGCATTAAATACTACCTTTAATCCTTAATATAAGACCCAATTAATTAATTTGAAAAGATTAATAAAATTACCAAATTACTTTAAAATATTTGTATTTATGGTATTTCTTTAAAGTAATTTGACTTGCTTTTAAATTGACATATAATCTAATCATGCGCATAAATATTTTAGCGAAATGATGTAACATATATTATAATTAAATAATTAAATAATTTTTTTTATTTTTTAAATTAGTTAACTGAATCTTATATTAATAACCGAAAAATTATTGCCCTTTAGCAATTACTATTTGATTTGATCCAAATTAGTTTAAGCCCTTCGTTAGCTCTTCTAAATTGCAGTGAAGCTGGTCCATGTATCATGCTTCATAAAAAAGATGAAAATGAATATTTCAATCCTTATGACTTGTGCCTCTTTTTCATTCATTCCCTATAATTTGTTTTCATGTAGCTCACTCCCTATACTTATTTCTATGAAAAACATTAGCCTGTGACTCACCCAAGTATATTTGCTGACATGTCACAACAGTTTAGGTAGATTTATAAATGAAATGTGTCAGTTGTCACCTATTTTCTTTTATGATTTGGTTTTAAACAATGACTTTATTTTTCAAAGATCGATGTTAGAGAACATAGATGGGTTCCAGCATATTGATGACAATGGTGTGAAGCATGATGGCATTGACAAAGAGAGCACGAGAGGCTCACACCATCACATGGTTGCATTGCTTTCTGTGGGAGATAACTTCAAGTTTTTTTTCATTCCTAGTTAGTTGTGAGTTCAAGCATAGGATTACTGCTTCATGGCTCTCATATACAGCAATATAATAATACTTGTAATATAAGCTTCTCCTCCTGGGCTCATCTTGTAATTGATAAAGGAGGAGAGAGTGAATAAGATGGTGGAAATCATAGTGATGTTGAGCATCATTGTAAAAGTGCTATGCTTATCTGACTTTAATGGAGTTATCTCCATTAGATCTAAGTCCCTCGTTTGTCCTTGCACGTCTAATGATAGGTCCTTCATTCTTATTAGACTCATTGCTTTCTCCACTCAAATTCTTCCTCATCCTCTTGTTAACCGTTCTATTATAGTCTCATACCACAACAACTGTGACAATTCCTCTTCATTTTTTATTGTTTGCATAAACTTTTATGTTGTCTTTGTCAATGTCATTGCACCTAATGCCACTGTTATCAACATCTTTGAATCTATTTATATTTATTGACATTATAAAAAAATAAAGCAGCCTTTTCAGAACTGTTGTAAAAGAAAATATGTGTTAAACTTACTCTATTTATAGATCTATCATCAGTTGTTGACATATAAACAAATTTTTAACGGTGTTTGCATACCGGGACAAGTCAAAGACTAATGCTTTTAGTATAGACAAGAATGCGATGTGTTATATGAGAACGAAGTACAGGGACCCAAAGAAGGCATAGGGACTGCTTGGGAAATAAGTACGAACTACCGGAGGTGGTGTATGAGTTTCCCTAAAAAGAAAAAGAAAACTGGAGAGAGAAAGGAAAAAGGAGTCCTTAGTCCTTTCTCCTTGCGGGGTCTATGCAGTGAGCCTTCTGACTTATGCGCATTCCGCACCCAACATGATACTCCGGCGCACATTCCCTTATCCTGCGCCGTCCCTCCACTCTTTTCCCCTACAAGCTTCTTTCACCTCAGACGCTCAAAAACCTGCACTTCTGCCTGAGCTTCCTACTCTCAGTACCTCCGTCATCGTCGTCGTTGTCGTCGTCGGGTTCATCTTCATCTTCTAACCATGGACTCCAACAAGTCGCAGAAGAAGAAGAAGTGGTTTGTACCGCTAGTTTTCTCTCTAGTACTATCTACCCTCCTCATCTTCGTCTCCATTTTCGTTTCTTCCAGTTCTTCCTTCCAATTCTACCGTATCCGCGTGAGAAAGGAAGTTCCTCACTTCGTTGAATCTAAGCTTAGGGTGTCTTCAACACTGGACAGCTCTGTTCCAAGAATCGCGTACTTGATTTCGGGATCAATGGGAGATGGCGAGAGCTTGAAGAGGACGCTCAAGGCGCTATATCATCCCAGGAATCAATACGCAGTGCATTTGGACCTTGAGGCATCGACAGAGGAGAGACTTGAGCTGGCCAATTATGTGAAAAACGAGCCTCTCTTTGCGCAGTTGGGCAACGTGAGAGTGATCTTGAAGGCCAACTTGGTCACTTATCGAGGACCTACCATGGTCACTAACACGCTTCATGCTGCTGCCATTCTGCTCAAGGAAGGTGGAGATTGGGATTGGTTCATTAATTTGAGCGCTTCAGATTATCCTCTACTCACTCAGGACGGTACGAACAGCGCTCTTTCTTTCTTTCTTCGTGTTTTCTTCGGTAGATTTATGATTTTGATGAGTGAACAAGATTGCTTTGTTTGTTTGTGACTTATGGTGTATGATTTTGCTGAAATTGAATGCGTTGGAGAGACTGTTTCTCTTTAGGTTACTTCCAGTTACTACGATTTTTCTAATTTTAGCCCCACGATACTGAAGTGGCGTTTGAGTAATTGTAGTACAGATTGCTCTGTTTTACTCTACCATTACGATTGTTCACAGTGTTGTCATGGCTGGGTTCCTTATTTCTCCAGATTTCTTGTGGTTCTGAAAAATATCAGGGATTGCATAAAACTGCTTGGAACTATTCTGTTCGTGCATTGATTCTTGTTCCTTGAAACCGTAACGATATTAGCTCATATTTATCGAGTACATACTCATTCACATTACGAATCTCGGCTAAATGGAAATAAAGCTATGTTAGCTCTGTCCCCTTCGCAAAAAACCCCTGTGCCTGGGGTCTCAATTCTGTTACTGAACCATTTAAACATATGTCAGAAATTTATGAGCATGAAATTGCAATAGCAAGTTAAAAGGTTTTTCCTATGGCATACTTGTTTGATCAAGTTTTAAATCTTTAATTCATTATTTTTATCTTGTTATTTCCTTTTACCTCACAGTGTATAAATGGTATTATTTACCATATTCAGACGTGTTAATCTGGCAAGTTGAATCCAGAAGGGGTCATTTTTTGTGGTTCAAAATTTCAGATATTTATTTGTATTTAGCCATTTACTTATACCATGAAGCATGAACGTTTGGTAGTTCGTGTTGGAATCTGTTAGCTTTTAAAAGGATCTAAAAGTGTTGTCCAATTCTATTATTAGTGGTTTTTTTTTTTTTGACCAAGTATTATTAGTGGTTCGCTCACTGGAATTTCTTACAACAGATCTGCTACACACACTTTCAACTATTCCGAGACACCTCAATTTCATTGAGCACACCAGTGACATTGGCTGGAAAGAGTATGCTTCTAATCCTTTTCTCCATTTTGTTCATGTCCCATTTTACTAAATTTCCTTAAAATGTAGCATACAATTGTGTGGAAGATCAAATCTGCCTCAGCTTTGCAAGTGAAAATATGCCATTTTCAACAGGTATCAGAGGGCCAGGCCCATTATAATTGACCCGGGTCTTTATAGTGTGCATAAATCTGATGTATTTTGGGTGACAGAGAAAAGGAACGTGCCCTCGGCATATAAGCTGTTTACAGGTGAGAAATTTTGCTTTAGTGCCTCTCGTTTTAACTCAATCTCTGTTTTTTTCTATTGTGACCTGCTTAATTCAATCATCCCATAACTGCTAGGAATGTCCAATTGGTTAATGAAACATCCAGCCCTTGAATATACTAAAGAGAAAGAAAAAATGAAGAAGTAGCGGTTAGAAGAATACTTGATAAGTCAAGCATTCATTGTATTGTTCTGCTACAAATTTCCATATTAGTTTTGAATTTAACAACTGGAACTTATCAGATTCTATAGCTTAACACCATTCACATTTTTTTTTCAATAGCCATCACTAAGTGGAGGACTTGGATTCTGCATAAACTATTTTGAAAGCATTAGTCCTAGATTCTATGCTCTCTTGAGTTTATTCTTGCTCCTTGATTTTGCTCAGGTTCGGCCTGGATGATGCTCTCTCGACCATTTGTTGAATACTGCATATGGGGTTGGGATAACTTGCCTAGGAAGGTGTTAATGTACTATGCCAACTTTCTATCATCGCCCGAAGGATATTTTCATACAGTCATATGTAATGCTGAGGAGTTTCGCAACACTACTGTGAATCATGACCTCCACTTCATATCATGGGACAACCCTCCTAAACAACACCCACATTTCCTTAAAGATGAGGACTACAGGAGAATGGTAGACAGCAATGCTCCTTTTGCAAGGAAGTTTGGCAAGAATGAACCAGTCCTGGATAAGATAGATACTGAGCTCTTGGGCCGAAACGCCAAGGGCTATGTGCCTGGTAGGTGGTTCAGTCGAGTAAAACCAAACATGACCTTCTTAGATCATGGCATAAAAAATATCACTGAACTTAGGCCTGGTCCTGGGGCTAAAAGGTTTAAACGCCTTATCAATGGCTTGTTATCAGCAAAAGATTTCAAAGCAAATCAGTGTGCTTGACACGTTAGTTCAGCGAACCAACTCTGGTCCCTGTCTTTTCATTTCCCAATTGCCAACAGGAAAATGACTTATTTCTTCTATTGACATCAATGGTTGGTGTGGGATCAAACATGGGGAAAAACCATCACAGAAAACAGAAATGAGTACTTCTTCACTTTACCCTTGACCCTATATATTATTACACCGCAGATTTGTGATACAAAAGGAGAGTCCTGAATATTAGTCGATTGGTTCCACAGGATTCTTACTAATTTTTTTTCTGGGCGACAAGTCATTGATATCTTTGTTATATTTTGTAGAATGTTATGATAGCAAATATGAGAATTTACTTAATACACAGGCTGGATTTCTGGTACTGGCACTGCAAGACCTGCATAGCTATCTGCTGTATATTTTGTCTTTTTGTCTTTCTTATGGCTTCCCCCGCCCCCAATAGAGGAAAATGTTCTTCCTAGGAGTTGTGGCTCTCATGAGTTAAATTTTATTTTCGTTCTTAGGCTATAAGCTCTTGCAACTATCATTATGCTAGCTTATTTTCATCACACTTTTATTCAGAGTCTTGAGAAAAGACTAGGGGCGGGTAATATGAGTGGTGAGGAAAAAAATATGCCACAAATAAATAGAGTCGTGAGCATGCTTGTGTTTTAGAACACTTCCTTGGGCTTCAGATGACTCCTGGAGGGTGCTTTGAGGCGCGAGCATGCTTGTGTTCTAACATTTAAAACGCGCCCTTGGGACTCATAAGCTAGTTCTTTTTCTTTGTTTTCTTTTTTTCGGGGAGAGATGATCAAATATACAGAAAAAAGGTTTACATTGTCACGGCATAAGATTATCCTTCATCATACATAGTGGGGAGGAGGGACCTTAAATAAAGTATGATGTTCAGATACAAAATTACTGAGTGAAGCTAATAGACTGGAAATTCTGATGATATCTAAAAGAATAATATCATTATCAGCTCCTCGACGGGAAGTAAACTTAATTAAAAAAGTAATAACAAAAAGATATGGAAAAAAGTGGGTTCAAATAAAAAATGAAAATATAATTAATCAACAAGTAAGGTTATTAAATATAAGAAGTAAAAAATGTAATTTAAAACTTTGGCAAAAACGTGATTTAAAAGATTTATTTTTTTACAATTTAAAAATTAAAATAAAATAATTATGAGTGTAAGATATTTATATCACATGTACTTATTTTATAATTTATAATAGTTATACACATTTTCTTGTCCATTTGATCGCTAATCCTTCTTTTTGCCCTGATGATCACTAATCCTTCTATTCCAACGCGGGCAAGTCATAACATTGAATTTTAAGGGTGGCACGTGAATTTTTGTATATATGCCTACTGAAAAAGATTAAAAGATTATTGCTACCAGCGGACTGAGTTTTGCAAACTTGAAATAATTAGCAAGTACGTAGCTGTGAAGTCCCACATCCGTGGCGCACCAAAGGAGGACTGACTTTGAGCTGAAAACTTGTACTCCTCCGGTCCTTAATGTAAGACCCATTTAACTAATTTGATTAAATTAAGGAAGTTAGGTAAGTTAGTTAATTATAAGAAAAGTGACACATTTTTCCTAAAACACCATAATTATCTTTTTTAATACCTCCTCTCCCTCTTCAATTTGATTATGGTTGAGGGAGTATCTATAGGGGTAATTTAGAGAAAATTGATAAATATGATAAATGGGTCTTATATTTAGGATCAAAACCAACTTAAGAATTGGGTTCTATATTAGGGAGCGGAGGAGTACTATATTTTAGATTAGAGATTCTTGTTAGAAGAATATATTACCGCACAGATAAGCTCACACTAACCGGTCAATTTGGAATCCAATTCAAGATTTTCCTTGAGAGATATCGTGGTGAAGGAATGGGAATATAATAATATTAATTTATTGGGTCCATTTGGTACAAGGAAATGGAGGAGATGAGAGGGAAGAAAAAATTTTAATTGTTTAAAAAAATTTAAAAAATGGAGTTAAAAGCTTTTAACTAATTTTACTTATTTTTTTTATCATACATCTTCTCTTTATCAAAATTTTATAACCATACTTCTTCAATTTTGTAAATTAAACTCATTAAAATCCCCCCCCCCCTCCTTTCTTAAATTCACTCATACCAAATATAGGGTAAGAATCTCTCTGTCTCCGTTGACCCATATCATGTCAACCGCATGAAGAGCTTCAGTTCCACTCATCAAATTGCAAGCTGTGCAAGTATACACTGCATTCATTTATTCAAGAGGGGGAAAAAAAAATTAAGAGCTTCTGGATGACATTGCACTAGTATGTAATCTAATTTGAATTTTCAGGTATTTTTCCCAGTGTTCTGGCCCCAAAAAAAGGTACTTTCCCAGTGGAATTGACATGTATTTTGACAATATAATGTGGGAGACGTGTTAGAGGCAGTCGTTGCAAACATGAATGTGTTTGGAAGAGTAGCTGCGTATGGTGCAATCTCAGCATATATTGGCACTGAAAAGAGAGCTTCACCAAACATGTTGGACGTTTTATACAAGAAAACCAACATTAGAGGATTTATAGCTACAGATTATATGAGCATTTTTGTAGATTTCATTTCAAAATCTTCGGATCTTCTTCATTCAAGGAAGTTGCAAACGCTTGAAGGCATATCTTTTAGTGTGGAGAGCATCCCTTTTGCTTTCGTTGGACTAGTCAAAGGAGATAATATTGGGAAGAAAATTATCAAGATTGCATGCGACTATATTTAGGTTTTATGGTAAGATTTTACCCATGGCCCCATGCTTCGGCGAAGCAAAAGAAGATCTTCTAAACAACGCATATATGCTGTGTTTTATTCTGATAAAACTTTGGTATTCCGCATAAACAACCGACTAATCCGATTTGGGTGTTGCAGAGGCCGAAATAGGAGGTGATCCTGCCAAGTCAGTAGCTCCATTCACAACCTTGGGATTCAAACCCTGAACCTTGCCCTGTTTTGTTCAATAAAAATTGAGTTGGGTTTTGAGCCCTCATGAAATTAGGGTATACCTCTAGAATCTAAAAAATATAAAAAATATTTATAAATTGCCTGCTAATATGATTCTTACATCATTAGTAAGATACTATGAACTTATAATTTTTAGTTATTAGTCAAATTCTTACCAGTTGGTCAAATATTTAATGGATAAACATTGTATAAATACTAAAGGAGGAAGACAACAATATGACCCATATTTTTAATAATATATTGATTTGCTTTAAATTTGGTCATCGTGTAAACTAAAATTTCTCAACTTGTTACCCTTCTTTTACTTTTTTTTTTTTTTGCATAGAATACGTTTCGCGCAACTTTTTGTGATAAAATCAAACAAAATGTAACACAGTAATAATATTATTGTCATAAGAAATAATACTATTATATAATATATGATATACGCTTTGTGTGATTAAAATTAAGGTCCTGTTTGGATAGCAGGCCAAACCATGGTTTGAAGACCCAAACCATGGTTTGGGAAAAAAAACAACCCAAACAGGCATAAATTATCTGAAACCATGGTTTGGGTCAAAATCATGGTTTCGGGAGAAGTAAATCCATTCTGCTTCTGACTCAAATTGGAGAGTATGATTATGCATATTAGAGTAAATCTCAATAATAATATGACTTTAACACCCCTTAATTAATTTTTTATAAACATATTTAATCTTATATCTTATAAATAAATATACACATATTAATTATTTATTAATTATATTATCTTATGTATTATTAATTATATTGGTAAAAAATATATTATTAACAATTTTATTCCTTCAAATTAAAATATATTATACAATCTATGTTTTATGTAATCATCATATTAACTTATGTTTTTTTAATAATTTGTATATATAAAAGTACTTCTGATAACAACTATCCAAACACTCTCACTTCTTAGAATCACTTTTTCACAAAATCTATTCTTCACAAAATCTATTTTTTCCAGAATCTATTTTTCAGAAGCTATTCTCCAAATCATAATTTGGTTTCATCCAAACACATCCTAAACCTTCGGAGAAAGATACCCTTTGTTCAAATTTAGATAATTAATTTTTTAGTTATTGGGATAAAGAAATAAAGAAATAAAGAAATATTCTTCCTTCATTATTGGGATAATTAATTTTTTAGTTATTTTTTGGTTAATATTCTATAAAATTTCAAATTTAAGCACATGCTCAGAGAAAAATTTACTTTAGAGGGTTTTAAGCCAAAAGAGAGTCAATAGAAGAATGCAATACAATTTCATAATGTGCCTCCTCCGTCCCTATCCAATCCAAGTCAATACATGATCTAATATTAATTATGATATAGCATATCATTTGCTAACTCATTAGATACCAAAATCATTTAAAAAAAGTCTTTTTACTAGAAATATACATACACTCACATAAAAGAAAAGTGAGAGAGAGAATGATATAGAGTGAAGCGGTCTAAAAAATACCCCTAACGCCTAGATCTGTTGCATTAACCCCAGAATAAGTTTCTGAAAACCATTCTCCCTAGTATGCAGATAGAGTGGATACGACAATCTGGATACATCGTTAATGAATGAATACCTTCCGCAATAGCCACAAACATAATATCTATTTGGATTGTCCCAATATAAAAGTGAGTATTTGGTTTTTTGGTTTGGTTTTTGGTGAAAACCGAATAAACTGAAAAACTGAACAAAGTCAATTTTAAACACCGAAATGAAATAGATTAACTAAATTAATTAAAACCGAATTAATTAATATATTTTGGTTTGATTAATCGGTTAACTGAAATATATATATATATATATATATATGTGAAAGATGAATTTATATTAGAAAAGCATAATAAAACACAAGTAAACCCATCCATTAATGATATTTCATTATTCAAGATGATTTATTGTAATAATATTTCTTATAACAATATTTATAGGCATAATTCAAGCTCACATATATCCACACATATAAATGTACTCATCATATATATATTTCGGTTTTTCAGTTTTGACCGAATTTTTCTCTTAATAACTGAACCAAACGCTGAAAACTGAATTGTCAAAAAAATAAAAATTGAATATTTAAATAAAAATTGAAATAACCGAATCAAAAAAATGAAATTGAATGTGGTTCAGTTTTCAGTTATACTTTGGTTTTGCTCACCCTTACTGTCAAAACTATGTTGGAAAGTTAATTATGTACTATATAGATCTCCTCTTAGATCTCAATGCAGTTATGTGAAACTTATTGATACTCCCGCACCAGCAGACGTGGTTGGGGAGTGGCACAATATTTCCAGGACTAATGTCTGAAGCCGGGAACCCTTGGACTGAGGAAAAAAAGCCTGCACCTGAGTGTAGAACCGAAAACAAGCAAGATGAATCCGCGGATAAATGACGCCGGGTAAGAGTGTGCCTCATAGGTATAGCATCCAAAAGCCAACGCCATAAGAAAAATACAACATGGAGAATGCATTTTAGTCTGATCATCACGTTCCAAAACTTACTAAAATCAACTGAAG